TCAAAATATAAAATGTATATATATATATGCCTATATATATATTTATAGACCTCAGCCGTTTTATGTTCACCTTTATAATTTTTAGCATATACTATAAAATTCAGAGTTACATCCTAAGCACTCTGATTGAATTGATAAAGGCTCTTTCTTTAGACTATTACAACAAACTGCTAAAGCTAATATTGTAAAGCATAAATTTTCAGCATGAAGTCTAGTTCATACATTATTTTATACTGTATACTTACTACATCAAACTTCTGAGTGATGTTCCCCTGGACATCAAGTAAATAAACCTTGCCATAATGGGTGCCCAGTGCCAAAAACTGCAAGAAGAACAGTGGGGTCAGTTTATTAATGTACCATTAATACACATTTAGTAATCAAACCATTTTCAAAGTCAAGACTCTGAATGTGTAAGTGGTCCGCAATGCCTTGGAAGATACGTACTCCTTGGAGAAGGCTTGTTTCCAGCTTCAGGGAAATAACAGAGCAGGGCCTACTTTATTGTGAGAGTGCGAGCTGGCTGTCAGAATGACTCATGAGGACCCTCATCTGCTGACAACTAATGGTGTGTATGCGGTCTGTACACAATGCCTGATGGACTAAGGCTGCAGATTCCAGTGTAGCTGGGAAAGCACGACCAACCTACAGTTGAGCTCGAAGTAAGAAGGGAATGATTAACCCCCCCATAATTTATGGCAAATGTGTAAATCTGTGCTATCATTTAAGTTTAACAATATACACATGCACAAACGACAAAGTATGATTTTTTTTTTTTTTTTTTTTTTAGAAAGGGAAATCTAAGTCATGCTGAGAGATGAAAAAGCTTGGAAGTATTTATACTATCAGTTAGCATTTAGATGCCTCTATAAAAGTTAATGTATAATACTGAGTGTAAATGTTTATATTCTAATGCAAAAAAAATCGTCTTCTGTCACAAAATAACTGCTAAGCTACATATTCATTTTATGGTATGAAATAGTTCGTATCTCCCACTGTTCCTTTAATTCTTTGAACTAACCCTAAACAAACATGAAGAAACTTTAGGACTACCTGAAATATGACATGAGATTTTTCTTCCTTTTTACTTCTTTCAGCATAACTCAAATAGTTCCAAATTCTATGTATTTCATTGCATGTGAGCATGCTTCATTGCAACCTATAATGAAATGCTCAAATTTACAGGCACTACTAAGCGTTTCAGTCAAGCAGCACAATCTTTATAAAAATAACCTTACAGAAAGTCAAGATTTGAAAGGATTTTATTGAAATGGAATTGCTTAAAATGAAATTTCAGTCCAGGCACTTAAAATATGAAGCTACATTAAAGAGAAGTCACAAAAAGGGAAAGAAGGGGTTCATTAGAAATTCATCCCCTGCAATGCCTTTCACTCCTGCAAGGTTGCCTTTTTTCAGGAAGAAAAAAGTCCCCCGGGTAAAAAAAATCAATACTGGTTAATAAAACATCAGGTGTGCAGACATAACTAGGTATGACGATTCCAGCACACAGGCCTGCCTGAATGCACCGGGTGCCATGCCGATTACTCATCCAGGGAAGACAGCAAGCCTGCTGGAAACGGGATGCCTGGGCCCTGCAAAGGAAGGGGCAAGAGGTAATTCTAGGGGGAAATTAGTCTGAATATTTAAACCAAACCGGGATGTTGCATCCAAAGCAAAAGAACATTCTAATCAGAAACAGAGGACTCAGATGGCTCAGATGGTTGTAATTTTTTTTTTCCCACAGTGACTCTGACAGTACTTGAATTAAAAAAAAAAAAAAAAAAACCCTGCATAATACTAACTAAAAACAAATACTCTGCCTCTTTCTGAGGCTATGATAAAACAATGAGTCTTAAAAGCTCACTGCACCCCAATTATTCGACGGTATTGATTCTCCTCATAAATACCGTGTTTAGTTTGTTAGAAAAGTAAAGGGGCTTGGATCCTAAAGGTGCTTCAGTACTGGGTGATTCTCCAAAGCCTCTGTGAAGGCCATTCTTGAATTTCCAATGATACTTTGTTTTATCAAAAGTTTTAAAGCTTCTATGCAGAGTACCCAAATATTAATTCCTTCCCTTTTTCCTTTTTCAAAATTACTAGTTTGACTCATTTAATATTTAAAATGGAAAGAAAACACAAAATAATTATTTTGATTTTATAGTTTCAACCTGAAACTGTAATTACTTTATGAACCAAAAATCCAGTGGTTTCAGGGTGCCTAGGTGGCTCAGTCGGTTAAGCGTCCAACTCTTGATTTCAGCTCAGGTCATGATCTCAGGGTCATGAGATCCATGCACTGGGCGTGGAGACCACTTAAGATTCTCTTTCCCTCACCCTGCACACCCCCCACCTCTGTCCCTCTAAAAAAAAAAAAAAATACAGTGGTTTCTATGACAAGTTACCTTTTGTTTACTAAAACATTTCATCATTTGGATTAAATTGTTGCTGAGGCCTTTTAGAAATTAATAACTTCACTGCTCTTAAAAAAACAAGTTTGATAAGACAACTGTACAGGTCTTAGAAAATTTAACTACTGAAATTACTGATGAGTCGTACTTTCACTTGCTAATAGTTTTGATTATTCAAAAATTCAACAAAAACGGGCGAAATTGGCCACAAATCACAAAAGTAAATTCAAATCCTTTCAGTGCGACTCTTTCTGGCCTTTAAAAGCCTTGAGCTTTTGTAACTATTAAATTTTTTTTTTTTAACCTGAGAACACTTAAAATCCAGGATGGGCAAAGAACAAGCATAATTTAATTAGCCCCCTTCATGTTTAATTACAGAAACTTGACTCCCTTTACAAAAGTACCAGATGGATGCCCAATCCTTCTGACCCATCCCATCCCCTGGCATAATTACTCTGAACGAGTGGACTTTGTGTAAGTAAAGAAGAAGTGACAAGCTTTGGACACTATGAAGGAAGCAAGTAAGAGCACATTTCCTATGTGAGTGGCTGTATAGTATCACCTATGTTCCTCATAGCGTTTTGTAGTATTCAAAACATCAGAGCAGGGAGTGCCTTTAACTACACACGAGAAACTAAGTCCCAGGAGTTGATGTGACTTCCCTGGAAACGGTCCATCAGTGGCAGAGCAAGGGCCTAAATTAAGAGCCAAAATACTCTCAACTGGATCAGAAGCCTCATAAATAGAAACATGGGCATCAGATTAAGAGTGTGTGTTCCAAAAGTCAGCACTGATGACAATTTCCACTGTCAATTTCCTTGACTGAGTTGGTTTAATTATGTTAATCAAGTTTGACCCCTGGGCAGGCAAACTGTGTTCTCCATTTCATCTGTTCAGAGGTTCAACCATATATGCTTAGACAATAAGCAGGTATTACTTAAAAGGGTGATGGTATAATAAAGGAGACAGATTAAAAAGACTGATTAATTAAATTTAAATTAAAGAGTACGCTTAAAATGGCAGCATCTCTAAGACCCTATGGAACATGGCCGATGTCAGCTACGCTTAACTCTCAAGGAAGAGGTAGACAGTAGACCCTGAGGCAGATGGGACAGGCTTGTAGTAGAGACCATTTTAGGCAGAATGGATAAAACTTGCTCAAAGGCATGGAGTCACATAAAAGGCAGAACAAAGTTAAGAAACAACAAGTGGTTATATATGGCAGGAGCATCCAGTTTGTGCCCAGGGGAAGAGACAAGTGATGAGTCTGGAAGGTGAGTTAATAGGAAACATCTGAATATTTATGGAGATGAAAGGTAGGAGAGGAAAAGGGTGTAGGAGAGGGTGTCCAAATCACGAAACATCAGGAAACCCAAGAATTCTAGGGAGGATTACATGATCAGATTTGAATTTCTGGAAGATGACTTTAATAGAAAGGAGTGTTGTGGCTGGACCAGAGTGAAAGCAAATCTGCAAAAAAGTAGATTGCCTGGCAAGGTGTGTGTTAGTTCCAGGAGAAATGACAAGTGTCTGAACTGAAAGATGACGGCTCAGGATGGGAGTGGGCTCAAGCAGCTGAGATGGGGTAGAATCGGGCAGAAGGGACACTGTGAGTAAAAACAGCCAAGAGCTGCTACCAGAACACCACCCGTGCTGCAAAAAGCGGGAAGACATAAAGCCAATTGCAGGAGAGGGCAAGATCTTAGGGGGGTTTACACACCTCAGTAAGGAGCTTAGACTTTATGTAGCAGATGGTGAAAATCACACAAGGGTTTTAAACCCGTACTTTCAACAGATCGTCCTGGCAACCAGGTGGCAGAAGGCTTTAAAGTAGAAAAATGAGAGGCCTGTGAGTGCAGGCAGGGGAAGTGAGAAAATCATCAGGACTTAGGAATGACTGGCTGGAAGCAAAGGAAAAGTCAGCTGTGGTTTAGGTGACAAAAGAGACTGTGATGCTGCCAAATGGGAGAGATCAAAAACCGATGAGAGATTAGAGATGGAAAAGAAGATGCATTCGTTATGGGTGTGCTGAGTTTCAGGCACAAACAGAACAAAAGGAAGAACTGTTTAAGAGGCACGGGGATAAAGAAGCACACTACTCTGGGGAGGTGTCAGTGTGTAGGTGGTCGTAGGAATTATGACATTTAAAATGAAGAAAAGTACAAACTAAACAGACATGTGGACAATGGACCAAATCCTGGGAAAACCAACATGTGAGAGAAAGGTGGAGGTAAGGAGAAAGTGAAAAAACCAGAAAGGGACCACAGAAATGATCAAGAGAATAATAAAAGAATGGTGCTGCGATAAAAAGGCTTTAAGAAAGCTTCTCTCAAAGCTTTTGTGTAGAAGGAAAGGTGAGATCCACACTTTTGAAAGCAGCAAAATGTCAGATGATGAATGGACAGACAAAATGTGGTATGTCCATACAATGGAATACTATTCACAAACAAAAAGGAGTAAAGTACTGATCCAGGCTACATCACAGGTGAACCTCAAAAACATTATGGTAAGTGAAAGAAACCAGACACAAGAAACCAAAAATGTATGATTCCATGTTTATTCAATATCCAAGATGGGCAAATCTACAGACACAGAAAGAGATTTGTGGTGACATGGGGCTAGGATTAGCATCACTAGGAGAGGAGCGGGGAAATCAACAGCGGTGCAGATCAACAGTGGACAGAAAGACCTCTGAACAGGAGGAAGAAAGCCTCCCGTGGGGAAGGATGGGCATGGATCCAGATGAGTTGGGAAAGGGGTCAGGAGCCGAGGCTCATCATACCTGAGAGATTCGATTTTCTTAATTATATAGAAATGGCATCCTCAGAGTGAAGGGATAGTGGCTGAGAAGACAGACTGAGAACTAAAGGAGCTGATGATGAACAAATCATCAACAGTGTTTGTAGTGGCTTGAGGGGCACGACAAAGGACAGGGACGTAAGGGAACTGAAGACACTGGTAGAAGATGAGGCTAGTTAACCATCTGACAGACACAAGAAATTAAATAAAGAACAGATTCAAGATCAGAGCTCCCTAAAGTCACAAAACAGGGTTAGTAGGAAAATTAACACAAAGGCTTGAAGGATAAAAGGGGTCACCAGAGAGCAGACTGAAAGATCCTCAAGTTCCAGGTACAGATGCCATCCAGATGTGGCCTTAACGGTGGAGAGATGAGACAAGGCAGAGGGAAAGACCTGCAAGAAGGACGGCAAGGCCAGTCTTCAGTGAGTGAAGCAAAACGAAGAGGAATTTGGGACATGACAGCAATGGGAGCAGGAAGATGGCAACAATGGGAAGGGATAGATGGTGGTACATCCTAACAAGAGGTGTCCCGAAGGAGGGGGTGTCTGGTGAAGCAAGAGAGAACAAATGAACGTTCTGTTAACATGGTGAATGAATACAGGAATCTGTTTACAGCGGAATGAGACCTGAAGGAAAAAGGAAGGGTAGGGACAAGGAGGAGGATGAGGCAACACTGCTGGTAACACAGGATAAAGCCAGGAGATGGATCAGACTTGGGAGGTTTGCCTCACTCACGGGGCCCATTGGGAAGAAGAGGGCAATGATTCAAACGGCCCGGTCTCCAGTACTCCGCTTGCAACACATTTTGTTTTGGTCCAAGAATAGGCTAAAGGTGCTGTATAGCACTTAGGCTGGACTCAAACTTGGTGGGGGTTTTGTTATGGCAAAGATTAAAATGTGGAATATATTAATTCATTCATAGGTCATACAAGTAATCATTCGGGGCCTTTCTACTGATTCCTAACACTTCCAGTGTAATCTCTTCTGCTCTTACAAAAGCACGGAGGACTAAACCATTTCCAATCTTAACACTTCCCAACTCTACTACTTATGGTTTGAGGAATTTAAAGTGATAGAGTTGCCAAGAACTACTTGCTATAAATCTTTCACATCTATCTAAATTCTACATGAGACACCCTTGCAGTGTGTGTGTGGGGGGGTGTGTGCGCAAATACATACATATAATACTTTTGGTTGTTGTTTTCATTCTTTTGTTGGAGATGAAGAAGAAAGGAAGAGTGGGAGGGAGACACAATTACTGGAAAAAGCCAGCACCAAGAGCATCAGGACTCCAAAGTATAAACAAACTTACAAGAGAAACAACTTACAGAAGAATCCTTAGAAGGGCTATCTTACCTTGTCGTGGACTGTCATGCAGCTAGCTGCATCCTTCTGAAGGATTTCAGTTACCCCATTGGAAAGCCTTTCATACTTCAGTTTGGGCTCCTCTTCACTTTCTTCTTCCTGCACAAAGAGCAGAGAAAATGACAGCCATCACGGATTCATTTGAAATAGTAAGACTCAAAACACATTTCTTAAGGGGAACCCAGAGATGGCTTCCTCAATGATTGTCAATAACTACAACTACAGCTCAAGGTTAAGATCTTCAGGTTTCATTTTCCAACTGGGTGTATCAGCTGCTACAACTTCACCAGCAGAATACATTCAAAGGTTGAAAACAGGAGTATACGTTCTTACTGCCGATAGTATTCAACTTTGGCATATTAAAGTAAATACAAAACTATCTGGCCACGTATGCCAATAAAAGATGTGTGGGCAAAATACTTGTCAGTTTGACCTCACGGACATAAAACACTCACAGCAGGGAGATAGGAATACAATAAACCTTCAAAGACATGGATTTTGTATCTCAAGACTATAAATATTTTTGTCAGATTTGAGAATATCTCATTTTAGTTAGAAAAATATAATTACAAAAAATCAAAGAAAGAAAATTGTAAATTTTATATACAACAAAATGTATTTATACCTTCAGATAAAATATAATATTTATTTTTCAAAACTTATAATCCATGATCATTTGTTAGAAAATGTATTGTTTACTTTCATCTGAATAAACCTAATGTGTTAAAAATTTCTTTTTCTTAAATGTATTAAAATTTCTTAATCATTTTGTACGCATTATTACTAACTTTGTATGTTCAACCTCACTGTTGATACAGCATACCTTATCCTATCCTTAATCCTCACAGTTATAGAGTTAAGTTAGGAACCTATATTGACTGTGAAGGCTCTGAATTAAATCAAGGATAATTATAAAGATTATTATAATGATTCAGATAAAGATGTTATTTTACTGTATCAATATGTGATGAGAAAAGATAAAATGTGCATGTACCAACAACTGTGGCAGGATAAAGCTGGCCAAAATAGAAGTTCATAAACATAATCTACCCGCTGACATTCCCTTCAAAAATAATTGTAGAGTCTTCACTTCCCAGCTAACATTCGAGTAGCGTGAGGCACGCCAATGCACCCACCCAGAAAAACTAGAAAGCCTTAATGAAATACACAGCAACAGTCAAAGGTGTCAGTGAAAGGGCTGCTGAAGCCACCACCTGAGTTAGAAGGACCAAGGTTCCAAGGTGGTGGAGAAACCGGAGAAAGCGTGGGGAGGTGAGCTGCCCATGCACCAGCCATTCTTCCTGGAGGTATTTACCAATTCGGGGTGTAGGACAAGAGGCTGAAAACCCAAGCTCTGCCTTGGAAGATGGCCACTGCTAAGGGTAGGAAAAGCAGCAAACCTTCTGGTACTCGTAGGGCTCGAGTAACAAAACCGGCAGCTTGAAGGGCTAAGATCCCAGTGGAGGAGAGAGGCGGACAAGTGGGCTTGTTACACAGCCACTTTTCCCCATAAGACAACTACTAATTTCCAAAGTAATATGGGGCAAGAGGCTAAAAAGCTAAATAGAAAGCCTCAAAAATGCAAACCAGCTGCCTCGATGTGCTGAGAAGATAAGAAATAGAGTTCAGAAATTACCAACAAATGAAATCCTGGTGAATACCACAGGCTAACTGGAACTCCTAGTCCCCAGGGGACACACAAAAAAAGTGCTTACCAAGACTTCAATCTGTCTCAGACTCAGTTCAACGCCTGACTGGATTAAGGTACGTATGTAACCCCCAACCTACCTGTCCAGTAAAGGACAGGGTGACTCCTGAGAGAAAGAAAACTTTTTAGAGTACAAAAACTACTCGGGCCTCTACCATTTTCACTTACAATACTAAGAATAAAAAAAAATAAAATCAGTTAAAAAAATCACCAGGTATGCCACAGGACAGGACCAAGTAACTAAAAGTCAAGGGGAAAAAAAGACCATAAAAACAGACCCATGGGTGACCTGGAGTTAGCAAAAAGGGCTTTAATAAGACTATGATTCATATATTCAATAAGAGAGGAGAAGACAGATGAAAAGACAGAAATTTTCAACAGGGAATTGTAATCCATAAAAAAGAAGTGGAAATTTTAAAAGTGAGAAATGTCACTGAAACTAAGAACGCAACAGATGGCTTAGCAGAAGACAGGATTAGTGAAGTGTAAAACAGGTAAAAAAATATCCAAAGGGAAGGCAGAGTAGAAAAAACGGATGAAAAATACAGAATAGGAGATATGTGGAACACAGGGAAAAGGGCTAATGTTTTTAATTACAGTCCTAGAAAAATAAAAATGGGGGGGCAGGAACAATATTTAAAGAGGTTAACAACGGAGAATTTCCTATAACTGACAGACATCATCCCAGGAATTCAAGAAGCTTTGTAATCCCAAGCAAGATAAATATGAAGAAAATCACACCTGGGTACATCATCGTCAAAGAAAAGTTACTCGTAGATATTAAGTGCTGGGCCTGGTGAAGATTATGACTGACAGGCCACACCAGGCAGAGATGCAAACTCAAATGCCAAGAGAAGTCTTTACCTCTGGGGCACAGAACTGCATCATCGCATGGAAAGGATGATACTCATCAAACACCATGAAGCAGACTTAACATCAGATCCCTCCATTCTCTTGACTTTAAAAAAAACAAACGCTGGAGAGTTAAATATAATTATTCCATTTTATAGATTTTTAGTACAAAATGATGATCAGAAATTTTAATTTCATCAAGACACATATACGAAGCCAAAATTCAAGTTGTTATGAATGCCCTAAAGTTAATGATTGTATAACACACTACCCTATTGCCTATGAAAATGATGCTACAAATCACAACAGAAAATAAAGCTACAATTTCTATGCCTACAAATAACTATGAACTGTGTGATCAATAGGAAATGTTTAAAAATGTATTTAGCAGGTGCATTAGTTATCTACTGCTGCATACATATTATGCCGAAGTTTACTGATTTAAAATAATAAATATGTATTATTTTAATTTTAACTATTAAAATATGAATTTAACAGTTCTATGGGTAAGCAATATAGGAGGCTTAGCTGGGTGGTTCAGACTTAAGGTCTCTCACAGGGTTTCAGGCAAGATGTCTACTGAGGCTGCAACCATCTGAACGCTTGACTGGGGTTAGGGTATCTGCTTCCACAATGGCTCACTCAAATGGTAGGTGTGGATAGGAGGCTTCAGTTCCTCACTTCATGGACCTCCGTGTGGGTTGCCAGAGTGTCCTCAGAACATGGAAAGGGACTTCCCCCACAGTGAGTGATCCAAGAAAAAGCAAAGTTGAATATGACCTAGCCTACACACTTCTGCAGTATTCTATTGATCATACAGGTCAGCCACAATTCAGTGTGGGAGGGGAGGTCACAACAGCAGGAATAATATGTGAGGATCATTGGGGGCCATTGTGCAGGCTAGCTACAAAAGTCTGCTTCTGCCTCTCTACCCCACCCCCTGCTCGTGCTTTCTCACTTCCTCACTCTCTCTCATAAATAAAATCTTTAAAAAAAAAATCAATATTCCATGTCTCTGATGAGCTATCAAATTTTCTTACCCCAGTATATAAAGCTATTAGTTGTTTATTTAGCAAGAGCATTAAAAATCAAAAATGATGGGGGTGCCTGGGTGGCTCAGTCGTTAAGCGTCTGCCTTCAGCTCAGGTCATGATCCCAGGGTCCTGGGATTGAGTCCCACATCGGACTCCCTCCTCGAGGGGAAGCCTGCTTCTCCCTCTCCCACTCCTGCTGCTTGTGTTCCTGCTCTCGCTATCTCTGTCTCTGTCAAAAATCAAAAATGATGTATTCACTGCTAACCTTCTAAGAATAACTTTAAGAACAAATAGCGACAAAAGGAAGTTTAACAAGCATGGTTATCTAAAAGACCTATACTTTTTGGGGCACCTGGATGGCTCAGGTGGGTAAGCATCTGACTCTTGATCTCAGCCCAGGTCTCGATCTCAGGGTCGTGAGTTCGAGCCCCACATTGGACTCCACATAAAAAATAAAATAAAATAAAACAAAACAAAACAAAATACCTATACTTCTTTAAAAAGATAATTGATGATAATCAACCCAAGGAGCCGTCATATGTCAAAAGTGACCTGTTGTTAAAAATAGTGAATTAACCACGTCTAAAAAAACCTACAAAAAGGAAAATTACAAAAAGCAACAAATAAACACTTCTACTTATGGACCTACAAGCAAGAAACGGAAATCCTTACAAAGTTAACATTAAATGTGGCAAAGATGACATGTGCCTTCTGAAGTAAATGTATTAAACACAAATTGAATCCTGAATGCTAGTCTTTATAATAAAATACCATATGTTGCTCAAGTCTGGACATCAAATGTGCATCCAATGTGAAAAGTTAATTCTAGCCTCTTGACTGTTTTGCATAAAAGCACTCATCCACGGACCATTAGATAAAGTTACTGTAAATAAGGCTTGCCTGTCTTATTTATAAGTGAAAACTAAATAATTTCTCTCACATAAATATACAAAAATAAATACTTTCACAACACAGCTCACTGAAGCATTCGTGCTAGGCTTCAAACCATAAATAAAATGAAAACTCCGATATTAGGCACTTGATGTAGCATTTCATGCTTTTCTGACAGGTATCTTTTATGTTAAGGTAAAAAGCAGGCTAAAGGTGAATTTTTAAGGCTTTTTTTTCTGCTTGCTGTAAACAAAGAAAATGGAAAATGATTCAAAAATACAATTCATGGAGGTTATTCTACTGCTGCAGACTATATATCACATTTTAAATACAATTTAAGAAAAAAAAATCAAGCAGATTTAATATAGTTTCACCTTTAAAAAAATTTAAGCAGAAAGGTTTTGTGCAGTTTTAATTTCCATGGAAAACAACCTAGTGTTAATAAAAGGCAAATCAATAATTTTTGTTAAATTTTAATCTTGCAAACCTACAAATAAAACCATCAACAGTCTGAGTTGACATGACAGTTAACTGCGTTTCTATGACAACCTAGTGAAATAATACAAGTCTTGACTTGCAGCTAAGCAAAGATATGAACAGAGTGACATTTACCC